TTTTTTTTTTTTTTTTTTTTTTTTTTTTTTTTTGAAAGAAGAGTATAGAGCTAACATTTTGAGATCAAACCTCGTTCTTGTCTTAAAAAATATGTATTTTGCACAAAACTGACATATCTGTAGCTTTTTTGCAGTTTAGTTCCGAAACTTAAGATCAAATCGTTGCTACAACTAGCTCTAATTTACCATAGTTTTATTAGAAGCATATTAAACATTATCAAGCGATTACAGCTGCTGATAGTAAACTTGTCCGCAGTTAAGTAATCTACTTCTGCGACTCCGTTATTTTACGCTTTTAAGTAAATTAAATGGGGTCTTGTTTAGAATTTTTGGATTCAACCTATATTACTGCTACGTTCTTGAAGATGTCTCGTAGATATCTCAATGTTTCTATTTCGTTTCTACCAATATTTTGGCAATTTATATCATCGTCAATTGCAGGCTTTTGTCCAGAATTACTTTCAGCCTTCTCATCCCTTCCAGCTTATTCTCTTTATAACAAGCAGGGCGCTTATTCTAATTTAATTTCCAAATTTCTTTTCACATGTTGCAATTAAGCGAACATAGGAGTTTGAAGTTGAAGAGTTGGACAAAGGAGAAAAAAAAAACAGAAAACCCTTTCAATTAAAGCAAAATTTTAGTAAGTGGTAGGTTGAGTGTTTTTCTGCATAAACGTATGATGTAATAGAGCTTCACTTTGGCACTGTTCTTTCAATTTTCTGCAATGACTTGAAAGAAGATTAGCACTAAAATACAGCCCTCAGTTTGGTATCCTCAGTGGGAAGTCACTGTAATACATCACTTTGCTTCTAGATTAAAGAGCTAATTTCGGCTTTTTTTGAACGTGTAAAAGGTGAGCCCGCCAGTCAAGATGCCTTAGAGCGGCAGACTGTTGAGCCCGTCACTGCGGACTTCCCTTCAGCGACACCACGGCAATGTTTTGATGTTGAAGACTCGTGTGTGATTTAAACCCTCAGTTTCAACTCCTATTAGCTATACACCATTAGTGACCTGTTCGTCATATTTCTCTGTTGTCGAAAGTCACGTTCAGGAAAGAAGTTGGCGAAAAAATGCGAACAGCTGTTGTAACTTCAAAAATACAAAGTTACCAAACATAGCCACAGTCAATAAGTAGAATAGCAGCGTGGGAAGATATTGTCAATGTGATACAGCTTCACTACAAACCAGCTTTTTAAAATGCTTTCATCAACAACCTGTTGCCAGCTGACTTGTGGCGATAAACGTCATGCTGAAAAACCTTCTCCACTAAACTTCGGCCTTAAATAAAGATAACGGTTGCGGTACACAGTTTTCCCGAAATGAGAACTGCCAGCATAGCCACAAAAATTTTGCTTAACTTCGTTTAGGTATTGTTACTCTTCATTTACACAAGGGACAAACATCGATTGTTGCCTGGAAGCTGGTGCCAACTTTCTGATCTGAACTAATAGAGTGAGGGGTTAGTGTAGTGGTCATTCGATTTGTTTATCACCTCCTTCCTCACGCCATGTTCCTGAAAAACAAAGAACTGTTTCTGTCTTTCTGATAAAACAAGTAAGAGATTGGATTAAAATGTATGCTTGGTAAAACTAGGTTGCACAATGATAATGAATGGTATTGGGTTTTAATTCTCGCCTTCGTTGAAAACCTAAACGCAGTAATTTTGCACTTTTACTAACTGATGATATTGAGGGAATCATGCTCCATTTGGAATTGATGTGGTCAGATCTTTCAATTTAAGAAGGTTATTATAAAGCTATTTTGAGCAAAACAGATGGACAGCAGAACAGTAAGGGGAAGAACCGTTTTGATTAAATCCAGCTAAAAACTAGATCAAGATATAATGTTCTATTGTAAGTCATTAATATGTTGCAACATGGCCTTGTTGCGAAACCGGGGAACATACTCCCTTAAATACAACGTAATTTATGCTTTGAGCAAAGTTTCTAACTTTGTTTGAAAACTGCTTTTTCAAGTTTCTAGTCTTGTTTTAAAATTTTCGTTCCGAACAGCTTTGAAACTGATTGGTTCTTTCTATAGACTATGTAAGTAGTAACTTGCGAGCGGTTTTATCCACCGGATCACTGCAGTTTTTCTGTGGTGTATAGTAATTTAAATGATAAGACACTGCGTCCGCATCATACCCCTTTCACCAAATGGGTTCAAGTTTCTGAAAGGAGGGAGCTCTGTCTTTGTAGAGCCTATCCTGCAACGTTCGTTGAGTAGGCCCAAAGATTCCGCTACCACAGAACGACAACAATCAAAATGGTGAAAGTTGCACTGAAAAAATTAATATCTTTTTTTTCAGGACGCGGCGTTGTTTCGGAAGGCTTCTGTTGTTGACACCGAAGGCAACAGTGGAAGCAGCTGAGGGTTGGAATGGTTTACAAAGAATGGAAGTATCAACTCCGGAACAGGGAGATTTTAGAAGAGTAAGAACCGGTGTAAATCTGAGCAGATTCTTCAAATGGCGATGGTTTAGAACGCAGCTGATGCTGTAGGTTCAAGCAAACTCAGTGGCATCATCTGACGAATTTGCAACACTGCATATTTAATTCTTAATACGCGTGGCAGTGAGTGAATGTTAGTCAACAAGTGCATGCTCTTTAATCTTTGAGTCATAAGCGAAAAAAATTATTGGGGCTTTATCAAGGTTTTTTGCTGATTAATCTTTTTGAGAACTGTAAGAAAGATTTTTAATGCGTTTTTCCTGTATTACTCCATTTCTTTTCTGATTGGCGCAGAGTTGTACTCGTACAATGAGTAAAATGCATTCAAATCTCTAATGATTTCAAGTATATTGAGAAGCTTTTTGATGAAGTGTATTTGGAAAGTGTAAGAGGCGGCCACTGGTCAAAAATTGGTATGGCAAAATTGGTGAAGAACGTTTACTGCTATTTACAATGGTAAAAATTGCTCTCTACTGCTACTGTTTTAGGAAATGAGGTAGCTAATGTGCCTTAAAAAATACAAAATTCTCGTCTTTGTTGGCAAGTACGACATATTCGATGACACTGTTGTTTTATGTTCCTAGAAACTTCTGCAGTAAGCTGCAGATGTTGCACGTGGGTATGGTCAGTGTATTAAAAAAATTCTACTAAATGGGTAAATGTTAGATTATTATGTGTTGGTGGATGTATTATTCAGTTGTCTACTTTAATTTTATTTCAGTAAAAATTACAAATTTTACTTCACTTTAGTGCTAGAATTCGATATTACTTAACATTTTATCATCACTTTTACTTTTTAGCAATACAGCTGATAACACTAAACTAGGCTTTTACTGAGCAAAAGTGGCGGCGGAGGTTTACAGTTAAATAACAATATTAAATATTTAGGCCTCTAAACTCTCAAATTTTTGCATTAGAATTGCTTCAAACCATATATGAAGCAAATTGATTCAGAATAAAATGCAGCATATTACTGATAATTTTTTAAGAACATACATATGCTTGCAAATAAATGTTTTTCTAAACTCTGTTCTATACTTTGCTAATTTTCAAATTAGTTTACTGTTCTACTTTTATCTGATAAATACTCAGTTAGCAAAATTCTACAAGAGGTGAACAGTTCAAATAGCGGCATTTTACTAAGCAACTAGACGTATTTGCTCAACACTAGTATTGGTGCATGACAAGCCCTAAGTGTTAGAGGTTAATAGGGATTCGTGGGTCTTCTCTTTTGTCCACTTCGTCTTCTTTAGAAAACAATTCTGGATTGTTGACGTAAAAGCTGCCTAGATCTGCATGAAATCCACACCGAACAACAAAAGAGATTGTCGTATTTAAACATTCTTGACTACGCCAGATGTACCTAAGATTATAATTAACTTATTTTCTTCACGTACAAGAAAAGTTTTTTATTATCACTGGATATCTTCTAACTTCATTTTAGTGGCATCTTATAGAAATTAAAATATAATAGGTTTTTATTTAAAATTAACCAGTCTCTCCTGAAGCGATTCAGATTGTATGTGTAGAACATGTTGCACTGATGGTTCCAATTTGGTATTTTTTTCAGTACAGTGGTGTCATCTGATTCTTCACAAAAAACTCGACAATAAACCCGGTTGGCACCATCCTGAAAGTTTTGCATGGTGTATCCTAAGTTTATTTTTCACTTCTTCAAGTTACTTCATATCACCTTGAGATATTACTGAAGTTGTACAAGTTATTTCACATTTAATGTGACTCACTTAAATATGGATAAATATTCAGAGAACTTGAATAACAAGAAATCCTGCTTTTATGATATTCATAGCTTTTTTGCTTTGGTTTTACTTTTTGGCTTAAAGTTAACATTGAAACCTTTGTCGTGTTTTTTTGTCTTTTAACTGTATGCAATGGTCTTCTTAATCGGTCAGCAAATCAAAAATTATTTGATCTTCTAATTATAACCAAAGTGATACTGCAAAAGCGTTTTTTCGCAGTTGAAGAAAATTCATTTTGCAATATTTGTTTTCGCTGTTTGAAGACTTGTTATATCCGATCTAATTTTTGATACTTGCACTAATCTTTTGTCTCTTGTCAACAATTCTAAGTGAGGAAAGGACTAGAAACTGAAAATAAATTCGAAAAAGTCTTTTTAAGTTTATGTTTCTTAGCAGAGGGCCTGTTGTTTGCTGTCAGGAGTTATTAAGAAAAGTGAAGATGAGTGAACAAAAGAAATTCATGGCACAATCTAGTATTTTGAAAAACTTCAAAGTTTATGACATTAAGACTTTTAGATGATAATAAATGACCGAAGACAAAGAAACCAATTTTTAAACCAAAAGTCTTTTATCAAATTTTTTTGCTGAAGAAGGGTTGCCTACAATTACGTTATTTTACGCGTTTCTACTACTGTAGTCACCAGAAAAATTTTTAAAATAGTTAAGGTCCACCGCAATTTTATTTTATCTTAGGGCAATCGTTGTCGACTCTAAATCTGATAAGTTTTACACTTTTCATTGTTAAACAATGTATAATATTAAAAACCGTCAGCATAAAAAGTTGTTTAACAGACATTCTGAGTGTTATTCTCTTAAGCCTATGGTTATATGAGTTTTAGGCAGTCAGGGTCTACACTAATTGATTAGTTGATAGGTAGTTGATAGTGGGTCAGGCAACAGCTGAATTAAATTAGGCTATAAATTACTTTATGACTAGTAAATAGCACATTTGAAAGTTATCATCTTTTGTTTCTAGTTATTTGAGGAGATTTTAAGACTGAAAAGCTAAACTCACTGCTTCGGTTTTTTCAAAGCACTCCGGATTCATTTCCAGCGTTTTTCCTTCTTCATAGAGGACGCAGCGAGCCTGATCGTGACCTTGAACCGTTTTACACTCAAGGGTTCTTGTGGCTAAACAATTCAATTATTTAAATACTGGTCAGAAATTAGATTTTTGAAACAAATGTTGTCTGATAAACTGAGATAAAAATGCTAATATTTACACCAGTAATAGGGTTTAAATGGTTTGGCATTGAGTTGATTGAAGAAAACTGTTAAGATTATAACTGTTAAAAGGTTTCGATCCATTCGTAACTGGAGTCAATCTCAACAATGGTTATGTTGTCTCCAAAACGTTATCGTGTTTCAAAATTTCAATTCCGTTTCTCTCAAAAAAAACCAGTCTTTTGTTAAATTAAACTAAATAATTAGTATAATGCGTTAGAAAGGAAATTCAGAAAACTTGGATTAGTTTACAAACTTGTCTCCGGTAAACCAAACGTTGAAAATGCCTGTTTTTTAAGTCGGAGAAATGTAGGACTATCAGAGAACTGAAAAATATTTTTCAGCGCTTATATAGTTCTTTTTTTGGTTTATTTTTTACTAAGAGATTATAAAATGCTTTTTTTTTCTGTAATTGCCAGTATCTTTTTAATTTAAAAGCAGAATAACTTGAATGTGTCTATTTTTTGGGTACGTTACATTACACTAAAATATGAACTTTTAGAGGCTTTAAATACCATTTTCAATGTCTGATTTCCAAGATACTTTCCTTTTACAATACCAAAGCAAATTTTGCTAAAGCTTAGCTGTTTTAATAAATAAAAATTACAGGTGTTTAACTGAATATTATTAGTATTATATTCTGCATAGTAAAAACAAAAGCTCACAATTTACCTTTGTTTTTTTTTGACGGTTTCGTCTTTTAAAAACTTCTGATTCCAAAATTTATCTTGATAATTATTATCTCTTTTTTGTGTTTAGGCGCAAAGTTGGGTGCTGTTTAGAAAGTACTCATTTATTTCACAGATTTATTGGCTTTCGGTATTGTCGTAGTTGATTAAAATTGATAAATGTTGTATTCTGACTGTTCAATGCTCGCCACAACAGTGTCTGTCAAAACCTTTTTTTGTGCACACCTCTGTGGTATTATTTATTAAAACTGTTCTGTTATTAAACAAGTCAACACAAGTCTTTTCCGTCAACGTTTCTTCCTCGTATATTGTCAATGGCAATGTAAAGGTTTGGCGAGACACCAGTTGCGATGAACAACACCTGAAACAACCTACCTGAAGATAAGATAGAATATAACTCAAAAAAGATATGGTTAAAAAGTTTAAGAAATGCATTATTTTTAGACAAGAAGAGAAGAACTATGACGTTACCTTGCGAGACCAGGTGGGGAGAAGAACTGTCTGATTATAAAACCATAATTCGCTTGCACTTACTTCTGGATTACTGTAAGGGCAAAATTTTTCATTATTTATGCACACCTGGAAAACTTATATTGCAATTGAAACATCACCTATAAATTTTTTAAATTCTTAAAACAAAAAAAAAAAAAATCAAGATGTGTTTTATTCTTGTTACTTGCAATTTGGGACCAACAGATCGCAAAAACAAATCAAACACGAGATAAACTGGATTTGTTAGGTCAAATAACGGGGATACTAAAACGCAGGGATTTTGGCACTGATCCGTTCCTTCTTTGCCAACGTATGCAAAGCCGTCTACAAACAGCAATTGAAAGAATTTTTCAAATGCAGTTACCTACGCCATTAACGTTTTAATCAATAGAGACTGGGTTAAAAGATCATCTCTTAAACATTAAGACTGAGGCTTTTATCAGAATTTGCTACGCACTATGAGTAAACTACCTGAAGTAGAATCATCCACTTCTGTTTTTTTCACTCCTGTGAGAGGATTGCCAATCTGGTCGAAACCTAACTTCCACATATTTCTACAATAATATGTTTAGTTGAAGCTAACACTTCTTTTGTTTACTTGTTCAGATTTGTTTGCTACGAAAAAAAAAAAAGTTGTATACCACGGTAATGCTTTAAGTCAATGTTATTGCCAAATTAGAAACCTGGGAATGTTTTCAGCATTTCCGTACTCACAGTTGCTGTCTTGGTTGAAGTCACAAGCAATGCTGCGACAAAAATTACTGTACAGCCTGTTATTATCTGCAGTTTGGTCTTCAATGGGTAAAAGTCCTTCAACTTCTATACGATTATCTGAAGCGTACTTTTCTTCCGGCTCTTCTAGGTTTTCCTTGAACAGGAATTGTTGTAAAATTTAAAAGAAATATGAAATTAATTCAGTTAATTTCTATTATAGTATGTGTAAAAAATTTACAAATCAAGTTATTTTATACACTCTCGACGCTTCACTAGATTGAATTACTAAGAACGCTTTAAAAGCTACAATAAAACTGGGTGTAAATTACTTAAAATGTATTATTATATTCTTCAAAAAAGGAATATTTTTTAAATCTTCAAAACAAGTATTAAATGTCATAAATTTTAAAACAGTTTGCTGTAATAAATCTTTTTTGATACTGTTTACCGAACAAAATTTGGCGTTGAACAATATGTCATCAATTATTGCCACTTCATTTTTTTGCAGGAAATCAACTTCAATACGTAGGGTAAATACTTCATTAGTTTTGTTCAACAAAAATTCGACTGGATTTTTATCGAACTTAAGACCCTATAAATTGTTTAAAGATAAGTATTACATCCGCCGACTGAATGACCATTTGACAGATTGTCCAGTAATAAAGAACAGAAATTGTAAAGTTTAGTAAGGATTAGTGTTAAATTAGTTTCCGAATAACTGATTAACTTACGAAACATTCGACTAAACCGTCTTCCTGTGTTATTACGCAGGCTCTTAGCAATACGTCTTCACCATTTGTCCAAAAACTGTAAGCAATAGATCAGACACTTCAAGAGATTATATTTGACGTAAAAAAACAGCTTTTATATTTCATACAAAGCTGCTAACGTTTTTATTCGACGAACGATAAAACAGAATCAATACATTTTATTCCTATACGAAGCAACTAATTCAGAGTTATATAGTTTAAAAACCTTTAGAAAATCTGTTGTGATTGATTCTTACAGTAGTTTACTGAGACAACTAACTTTAATTTTACATTCGCAAATTCACTTAAGCAGGGTATTTGAGCTTCAATTGCTCCTTCGTAGTAATCTGTCGCTGGACCTCCACTAGCCACCAAAAAAACATTGTCTACAATAAAAATTACTGAATAAATTTGCCAATTAATTTCACTTTTCAAATAATATGATTATAAAAAGCTAAGAAAATTTCCTCTTACAATAGAGAAGAAAAAGCAACCTAAAGGAAAAGCAGATTCATCAGTGCACAGATAACGATTGAGATCAAAATTTGGCACAAAATAACCGCGTTGAAAGCCAATTTTAAAATTTGGATTATTATGCCATTTGCAGTGCTCATCATCAGTATCAAAATTGCAGCTTAAGCCATCCGTCAAACGATGTTCAGGTTGATCTTGATCAACAAGGTTTGCAACTGCTATAAGATTGTGAATTTCTAAACATACTTCAATGCCCTGATGCCATTTTTTTCATCATGTTTAGTCAAAAAGTGTTGTAGGAATAGGTACAACAAATAAATAATAAATATTTTTGAAAGAAATCCTTATGTAAGAAACCTTTTTTATTGTACTGAGCATACAGTCGATATCGACATCGTTCACTGATACCAGGAGTACGTTGTTGTTCATAGATGACATCTGTGGCACTCAGTGTTTGTCCCTGGCTATACGGACTTAGTGGTACAGAATTTGATGACGAACAACCAAAAACCGTAACTGAAATTCTAAGCCAACAAACGTTTGTTGATATTTACTTAAGCTGACAAGTACATTAAATATCTCAAACACAATTCAATTAATGTTAGCATTAAAAAAAAAAAAAAAGATGAATGGCAATATTGTTTAGGAAAACAAATTTGCCATTATAATCTATAAAATAGATGCAACTTTTTTTTTCTTATTTATAAAGTTTGAAATTTCGATTTACTCAAACCAAAAAAAAAACGCGATTTATTACTTAATATTCTTTTGTTATTTATATAAACTATATTATAGCAACTTTTGGTTATTTTTTTTT